AAAACTAAAAAAAGAAAGAAGAAAAAAATTAGGAACATCAGTGTCTCTACTTATAATTAATCCATAATGTCATATAAGATTAAGTTTGTTGGTGATAAAGCTAATGAAGGTACTGCATCATTATAAAACAAGCAAAAGAACCAAAGAATCGCAGAAGAATGTTAGAATTGGAAATAATCTTAAACATTATTTAATCTAACCATTTCATATCACAGATAAGCAAAGTCAAGTCCATAGTTAGTATCCAGAATTTGATACCGCTGACCATCGGCTCCTTGAAATTCTATACACCTTGGCTTCCATGAACTCTCTGGCCTTTCCTCCTATATTTCAGATCACTCCCTTACAGTTTCCTTCAAGGACACTTTCTCTTCCACTAACCACTTTAGAAACGGTATTCCTTTGGCTCATTGTTCTTTCAACTTAATACACTTTTTTGAACGACCCATTCTCCTAGTTTTAACCATCTGTAGATGATTTCCAAAATTATATCTCTACTGTGAATCTCTTCCTTAAACTCCAGATATGAACACTCTGTCTAACAGATACCTGGATATCTCACAGGCATTTCAAACACACGTGTAAATTCAAACTCCCTATTTGCCCCTAACCCTGAAAAGCTGCTGCTTCTATCACTTAATGGCATCCCTATCTACCCAAACACCAAAACTGGTACCTGGAACACCACTTAGACAGCCTCCTTTCTCTCATTCCCCAAATCCTGCTGTTTTACCTTAAGTCTCTCAGGCATCACTGTCCAATTTGTTCTGTTAGCCAGTGTTTTGAAACCGTTGTTTTGGTTGTTTCTGGCAGCAAGATAAATCTGCTCCCTATTACTTCATCCTGGGCAGAAGAGGATGCTCTCCAGTATATTTTACATTGTGGAATATTCATGTGTCTACTTGTTGGCTTACAAATATCATAAAGATTTCTTATATCACTTGGAATCTTAAACTGGAAGATCTTCCTAGAGCTGTCAAATAATCATGTAACCTAATACTATTTTTCTTATCCCCTGTTACACAACTACTCAAAATGACATCAATAAAGGGTAATTACACTAAATTAGTCCATTTTTTTGTGTGTGAAATGGATAAAAGAGAATGAGGTTACTTTTAATACACCTACTAATGTCACCATGAAATAATATTTAGGATCAAAGTAAACTTCAAACAGCTAAATATTCTTGATAGCTATTCTATTCTAGATAATGCTATAGTATCATCTAGTTCTTCTACAAATCAATAAATACTAATCTGAGACCGTATCTAAATTCACCATGAACTAGGCAGTGCATGTCCTAGAAATCCTTTCAGTAAATGACATTTACCTTGACATCCCCATTTCTCTTTTGGATCACAAGAGTTTTCTAAGAGATGTCTCTAAGACAGGTTCCCCACAAAATGCTGCATAGAATGGCTCTTTGCCTTTTTTCTGCTAGACCAAGAGAACTATTATGTTTATTTTGTCTCCTTAGCATCTAGCATGACATATAACAAAAATTAAGAGCTGAATGTGAGAATGAACAAAAGAATAATAAATAGAGGGAAAGAGAGCATTCCATAAGGTATTACTAGGTAACTCACTGTTGCAAAAAATAAACAAGTTTATACAAGGGTATTAAAAGATTAACATGTTTATGATTATCCAGTAAATACTTATATTTTAACAGGATGTTTTTAGAAATACAACATTTATCAGAAAGGATATATGGAATTTCAGAAAGCCAAGGAGGATATATTAAAGGGCAGTGGAGCCTTGGAGCAATAACTTAAATTATATTCCACCTTATTCATCAACTCCAGGGCTATCTCTGAGGAAAGTACAAGGCAATTTTAAAAAGACACATAAGCTCCAAGAGACCTGCTATGGTCCCACTACAGTAGAACTTTTATATATATTTCATATATACAAAATGAATGAACACTACTATATAAGCTCATTTTGGTATCAAAGCATTTTCAGTAGAATAGAAGGAAAATAGAACAAAAGAAGAACGGAATTGTGGTGCTTAGAAGACAAAGCTGTAGATGAGTCAGCTTTGTCAAAAAAAGGCAAATTTTGTATGACAGGTTAGACATCAAAATTCAAGAGAGATATTGTCCATGAAGATCTATTATACAATATATAAGTTTTAGAAAAGACATAGAGAAAAATATACCTTCCTACCATAGTTCTTAGTCCCAATTTAGTGAAACCAAAATATCACTAACTCCTGAATACAGCTGGCTTACTGCAAATTGCCAAAGAAAAGCATGGTATATAAGGTAATACGCTAGAGAGAGATCTGATAATATCTGGATTAGTCCTTTTTTCATAAGCATTATTTGTGTCAAACCATAATTTAGAACTTCAGATTGAACTATAATCAGAAAGTTCACTATTATTTACATAATCATTAGAGTAGAAATAGGTGCTCTTAAGTATTTATTCATCTTAACTACTTACTAATCACTTTAGAATTTACCATTATTGACTACGAAATACATCATAGATTACTCTTTCTATATGATTATTAATATATAACAAGATGATGGGTAGTATTCATCAGGAAAAAACACTTCTTTTATTGATGACTTAAATCGTAGAAACAGAATGTGTTAAATCAGTAAAAGGAGAGGAGCACATAAAGGTCAGTAAGGCGTTATGCAGAAACACAAGCAATAAGATAGAAGACTTCTCAAGTTTTTTTCTTGTGACCACAGACTAGAGTAAACCAAGAATATACAGTAAGTTTAATCAAATTGAGCAAGAGAATATAACCGAGATAGAATTGCCTGTGTACCACTCTCATTCCCATCAATAATGAGTCTCTCCCGAGAATACAAATTTTATCATAAGAAAAGCTACATGCAATGAAGTGAATAAATATAAATAGTTATCAGGAGCAAAACCACACATAGCCTAGATAGCTCTACCATGAAGGAGGGCATGAGTAAGTGTTTATACAAAGACTGAGTGATATACAACGAAAAACATCATAAGGAGACAGTGTTTTATTTAGATTAAAGAAGACTAACACTGAATATAACTGTTCAGCAACATCTTAAGAGTACTGTGTATTTTCTGCTTCTACAATCACAGATAATGTAAAGGCAGTAAATGTCTCCTACATTATGTTGTCTCATCTATCCTATCCGATGCCCCCAATGCATCAAAGGAAACACTAGAGGAGGAGGACAGGTGAGTCAACACAAGCAGTTGCTAGGCTAATAGTAATAGTAAAAGGCCTCATGCTGGCTGAGATTGGTGAGACATAGCTGACGTCTGTGAAAAAGTCATATTTTCCACAAGCTAAGAGTTAAAACAACAACAAGACACACTTTCTCTCTCCTACTCTTAATTTTCTTATAAACAGCATGCTCAGAGAAGAGAGGCTGTAAAGCATTGCCAAAATCCAGGTTATTGGCTCTTGTATTAGATAGCATTTAAAATAATCACATTCACTGACTGATACTAGGCAACTGGAGATGTTTTTAGATATATTTCTCAAAACTGTTTTTGACAGGTAAGTTTTTATTTTCTGAGGAAGATCAGCCCTGAGCTACATGTGCCAATCCTACTCTTTTTTTTTTTTTTTTTTTTGCTAAGGAAGACTGGCCCTGGGCTAACATCCATGCCCATCTTCCTCCACTTTATATGGGATGCCGCCACAGCATGGCTTGACAAGCAGTGCGTCGGTGCACACCCAGGATCCGAACCCCGGGCCGCCACAGTGGAGTGCGTGCACTTAAGCGCTACACCACCAGGCTGGCCCAAGGTAAGTTTTCATTATAGTAATAACACTATATTATAGCCATGCATAATGTGTCTGTATCTGTCTGTATTGCTGCATAACAAATTACCACATATAGCAGCTAAAAACAACACATATGTATTATCTTGCAGTTTCTGTGGGTGAAGTATCCTAGTATAATTTGTAGATCATCTACCTTGCTCTCATTCTTAAAATGGCAGCAACTTTCTTTTGCAATTTTCTATATCTTAAATAGAAGTGGAAGGCCCCAGTACTGAGATATTATTGTCTGACACATACAAAATTCTATAAAGATGCCTCTACTATCAGCCTATCATATCTTATTTCGAAGAGGAAAAATTCTACACGAAAACTTAAAACGTAAAAATTGTTGAGTTACTTTTACATAATTCCTATGAAATTACATAAGCATTTAATTGTGTATTTTAATCAGGTAAAACATGATCTGAAAGGAGGATAATTCAATAAGATGAAATTGTGTCCTGAAAAGCGAAAATAAGTGAGAATAAAATTAATAACAATAAAATAACTAGTTATAATTATCATTTTGATATTTAATTTGTGATTAGGTAGGGAAAATAAGTAAGTAGATAACCCTTTAAATTCCAACTAAGTTTTTATTTCAACACTGAGATAAAAATGTGATTTATACATTAAATATTTAAAATCTTTTGAATAATGCTTAAAAAAAACAAAAAGTAGAATTAATTTTTTTAATTCAAGGAACATCTCAAAATTTTTGTATTTTTATAACTTTATCAGGAAGAGAGCATATAATATGTGTTTCACATAATTTTGTTAATAATATACAAAGTGCACCGATAGTTTTCAGCTAAATTATGGAAATGAGATGGTATACATGAGTGTTAACAGTGAGAAAATTTTTACCAATATTAAAAGTGCTGCAAATTAAAAAGGCTGATAGAAATTAAAACTATGATATTTCTTTTTTCTTTGTGTGCATGTGTGAGGAAGACTGGCTCTCAGCTAACATCCACTGTCAATCCTCCTCTTTTGCTGAGGAAGATTAGCCCTGAGCTAACATCTGCGTCTATCTTCCTCTATTTTGTATGTGGGATGCCACCACAGCATGGCTTGATGAGGGGTGCATAGGTCCGCACCTGGGATCCACACCTGGCATCAAAACCCACAAACCCCGGGGCCACCGAAGCGGAGCGTGTGAACTTAACCACTACGCCACCAGGCCGGCCCAAAACCATGATATTTCTAACTTTTATTTTACCTGCAGTGTGAGACTCTTTACCGCATTCCATATTACTCCAATAAATTCTTTCATTTTTTCTTCAGGACTTCTACATCCTTCTGATATATTCAGCATGGCTTTCACAGGAACAGACAATGGTTTGGATTCTAAGTATAAGAACAGCTAGTTATTTAACAGAAATGTACCTTATAGTTTCTCAAAAATATACAGAAAATATTTTCAAGATTATTTCTTTCCTTGCTTATAATTAAAACTTCTATATGAGATTATAAAATATATTATATCATTTTATCTTACAAAATCACTGATAAGCAAAACTAATCTGTTAAAAGTCAGGAGGGCATTGGTTACTCTTGTCAAGGATAGGTGATTGGGAGCAATGGTAACGTTCTATTTATTGAATACATGGATGTATCCATGTTGTGAAAATTCATTAAGTTGTAACCTAACAATCTGTCCATTTCTCAGTATAAAGTTAATACATTAACAAAAATTTTACTTGAAAAAAAGGTAATTCAACTACAAAACACTTGATTCGTCCAAAATTGATAAGAAATGGGTCTTCCCATATGTGAATCTTCCTGGTAACAAAAGCTGACCTATAGAATCTCTCAATTTTAAAAACTGATTTTGATGGTAACCAAAAGAAGTATGTGATTACACAAAAGGCAAATTTATATATAAAAAATGAAATTTGATATTCCATTCTCTATAGTATGTTATTAAAAATTTTGTTCATCTAAAATAAGAGAATTAATTTTTATAATGTAAAATTTCAGAACTTAAACAATTTAATAATTTATAATATATATTATATCTAAACAGATCTATATATATTTATACATTTTATTTTAATGCAAACATATAATTTATACGTACTATTTTAAGTAACATAAAATAAATAAATCAGATCTTGCTTTTGAAGACTTTTACTAAATTAAGTTTGATGATTCTAGGATACTCTCCAAAGTAAATCCTACCAATCACCACTATGAGAATGACAGTTGCTATATCTACTCATACTTTCCCTCTTCTCCCAATGTGGTTCATATATTTGCATTTATACTAGATTTATAATACTTTAAGGGCATGGAGCACAGATTTTTTTTCTTATACTCATAATCCTACAGTCTACCACATTACGCATATTTGAAATTCAAAAAATATTTGTTAAAAAACGAAAAACAGTTTGGGAGAGATCCATGGAGATATCCGGGAACAGAGCATTCTAGGCAGATAGAACAATAATGCAAAGTCCTGAGTTAGGTGTGTGCTTAGGCTTTTCAAGAAACAGTATAGAAGCAAGGATGGCTAGACCAGAGTAAGAGTGAGAGAAGTAGGAGACGAGGTCAGAGCTATCAATAGGGACCAAATCATACAGGGCTTACGTAGGCCATGGTAAGGAAGTTGGCTTTTACTTTGAGGGAGCTGGGATATGATAATGGATTCTAAACACAGTCATGAAATTAATGGACATATTTTGAAAGAATTTCTCTGGCTACTGTGCAAAAAGTGACTATGAAGATCAAGTATTAAAACAAGAAGACAAGTTGTGTGAGATGGTGACAGCAATTAAGAAGTAGTAAAATTCTGTATCCATTTCAGAGATACAGCCAACAGGATTGACTGATGGACCGGATGCACAGTGACAGAGAAAAACAAAGCAAGGATGACTCCAAGGTTTTAGGTCTGAGCAACTGCAAGAAGCTGTAGGAAGAAATGACTGAGAGGAAAAAAAACTTAGTTTTAGACCTGTCAAGTTGAGATTTCCATTAAACATTCAAATGAAGATATCAAGATGGCAAATGGACAAACTATAAAAAACGGAAAAAAATATAAACAGATATTCCACAGAAAAACGTAATTTGGCCAATAAACTAAGAGATGCTCAACCTTGCTAACAAATAAAGAAATAAAAATTAAGGCAACAACCAGATAGCCTTTTCAACTGTCACCCTGGCAAACATTTTAAAGAGTTTGTTTGGACTTTTACAAAATTTGACAGTGTCGAAGCCTCTTGTGAGAATGTTTCATATACACTGGGAATATAAATAAGTATGGTGTATAGAGTGAAACTGCAACAGAGGCAATTTGTATCTATCAAAATGTAAACATGCATGTTTTTCTACAAAATAATCCCATTTCTAAGAATCTATGCTACAGAAATACTAAAACATGTGTGAGTGCCTGCATACAAACAATTTATAAAAGATGTTCAGTATTAGCAGTATTACTTGAAATAGCAAAACAGAGGGATGGGGAATGGGAGAGAGGGAGGAAAAGGGGAGAAAGAAAATGCTAAGCAACTTATTTGTCCACCAAAAAAGAAATGGATAAATTAACTTTGAAATGCCTCAATAAGGATTATAATTCAATCATTTAAAAATGAGGAACAGTTAAAGGTATAACAGAAAGCACATTTTTGATATCTTATGAAGTGAAAAAATATATATGTGTTGTATAGTCCAAACATATTTTTAAAACAGTGTGTGAGTTTGAACATGTATTTGCCTATCCATATACAGAAAAAGATACAGAAGAGTAAAAAGCAAACCCTAGGCCAAGGGTAACTCTGAGGAGGGTAAAATGGAACTGATGAGGGGTACGGGGAGAGGGGTTATTTAACTCTTTATATATTCCAGAATTAAATGTTTTAAAATTAAATGTTTTACAACAATGAATTACCCATTATAATTTCTTAAATAAAACATACCTCAATTTACTTTCTACTCACTTGGATTTCATTGCTATTCTTTCGTACTTTAGCAATTACGAGAAGAAAATGGTTTTGAAATTTTAAAGAATCACCAAGAAGGAAAGTGTGCCAATCTTTATTTCTCCTTTATGTCCATGGGCAATCAAGCTGTTCAGCCATGTACTCATAGCCAAGACAACATAATGCCAGGGGCCACCTGCCTTAACCAAAGTTGAATTACCTAAAAGGAAACTTAAACAATAAAAATTTAAAACCTGAGAAGTCTTGCAAACTCAGGTTGTAGATCATTCTGGAAAGGCAGCATGCTTTAAACAATCAGAGGCAAAGAGAGACGACAACTACCAAAAAGAGGCCATAAGAGAAATTGAGGCCTACTAAGAGATAAAGAGGGGAGAGCTGTAAGCTTGAGAAAGAGAGGAATGCCTTAGTAGGACCTGAAGCAGAGCTATCGAGTTGCTTCATTACAAGTTTCAGAAGCTAAAGACTGAGTAGTGAACACCAGGCTATCTAAAAAGGCATACTTTCTAGAGTTTTGTGCAAGGATTTGGAGGGAGAAGAAGGGTAAATCCCTCAGAAGAGAAACCAGGCCTTGAGTGGTATGCAGTATCACATTTCATTATCTTGTTCACAAAGATGTCATAAAGTGTTAATGGTTCATGGACTTAAGGTGTACTCATGCTGATGTATGGTATATTGTTGGAAATACTTTTATTACAGAATTAACATATGTTAATAGGTAAAAAATCAGAAAATTCAGCTCACTAAAAAAAACGGGAAATAAGCAAGCAAGAAAAAATATCTCATAATTTCAGCATGCAAAAAAATAATTCAAAAACTATTTATGGAACACCCACTATGTTTTAAGGTCTATGTCATGAAGTGGGAGTTCCATAGGGAACAAAATAGACATGGTCTCAGTCCTCATGGAGCTTACATACACATGTGGAAGGCTTTAAGACTTAAAAAACAAAAAAACTCTTTAGTCGTGGAATTTCAGACACTAGTGGGATAAATATGTTTAATAAAGTTTCCTCAAAGCATGAACTTGGAAGCAGGCAAGCTAGGCACCATTTTTTTATTCTACCAATTCAGGATATGTGATCTTAGAATCACTTCAGCTATTTAGGTTTCAGTTTTCTCATCCACAACTTTCAGGAGGTAAACCTTAAAGGCTGCCTAAATCTCACTGGAAAACCATGGGGTGGGGCAGGGATTCTACCGTCTGTTAAGAAAGTAAAAAGATGAAGGAAGGAGAGAAAGAGAGAGAGAGAGATGACTGAGTAACACCATCTTATTTTAAGTAGTGAAGCAAAGATAAGAATGTCTCTAAAATCTACCCTTCGAGTTACAGATAGATTACCACACTGACACATTGAGACCACTAACATTCTTTCACCCTGGCCTCAATTCCAAAATAAAACAAACAACAAAATGTTTGAACTTCCATGACTTTCTTAGTGTGTGTACCCCCACAAGCAACACTATCCACCACCAGAAATAACAGCACAGGGTAGACTAGGAGCTAAAGCACTTCCAGAGAATGTCATAAGATCTTGGAGGAGCATCAAGAATTTTTAGGTTGAAAGAGGCAGTCTTTTTGCTTACAGCTGCAACTCTTGCCTACGCTGGTATTGTTTTCCACTTATTTAACACTCAGGACTAAGATTCAATAAAAAGATCAAATTATTCACAGTTCAACTCTAAAATAACAAGCTGATTTTTATATAGTACTATGAAATTAGTGTCAATATTTTGTTCACCCTTCACAAGGACCTTCACACTGTTTCCCTTTCTGCAGATAAGTCCTTACCTGAACTTTGGTCTTCACAGTTATAAGAGTTCAGAGGGAAACTAAAGATAAGCTAACCAGGGAGATGATAGAAAAATGAATGAAAAAACTTTGGTTAATCAGATTGCTGCTAGAATTTGAATGTTCACATATGTTTTGGAAAGTGAAAAGAGAAAAAAGGTAAGAGAGGAGGGGAAAGAAGGTGGAAAGGAATCTTGTTCACCATAAACTAAAGTTTCATTCCGTGTCCATTTACTATACACCAGGGCACTGTAGTGAGGGCTAAAAAAAATGACACAATCCTTGTCCTCCAAGAGCTTACAATCTAGGGGGGAGATATAAACTTAATTAAATACTGTGATTATCACAGAGTATGATGAATGCTATACTATAAAATATTCTGTGAACACAGAAAGACTGGGTGATTCAATCAAGTACTGGCAGGAAAGTCTTTACAGAGGAATTGACATAGAATTGGGTTGAGAAGAATTCTTAAATCAAAGAAGGAAGGAATTGCAGGCAGAGAGAACAGAGGCACAAAGTGCATGACAAACAGTTTGGTGTGACTGAAGCATACTGCACATCAAAAGAAACTGGTATACTAGAAGTAGGGCTGGAAAGGTAAGTTAAGGCCTAGTTGT